CGATGTGCCGGTTAACCACACACGCTCCACCGATCTATAATAAAGTCAAGTTACCCTTTGCCACTCTTACTAGTCCATGTTAGTGTGCCGGTTAACCACACACGCTCCACTAACGACTTGGTAAGGTACAAAGTGTAATTTTATGGGCTAGCACCAATTTCACATTTTCCTAAAGTAACTAAGATTGGGAATTTATAATGTATAGTTACTTTATAATTCATTATACTTTTAATGAGTATTTAAAGTCGTATCCTACCCGTTCGGCTAACGACCCTCCACCGATCAAGGAAGCGGTGGGTGAGAGTGGACACCCATTAAGTCACCATTTTATAGGCAACAACCTTATACCCCCTTATAGACCGGCTTCGTGAATGAGGCCTACTAACGGTAAGAATGACATATTCTTATACATATCTATATAATTAAAATTATAATAATAGTATAAGGGTGTATTTTAAACATTTAAAATACTTGGTGGTTTAATCTATTAATTAAATTATACTCTTAATTTAATTAAACTTAAACCATGTCTTTATGGAATTATTAACTCTTTTAATTAAACACTTTAATTAATTTAATGAAGTCCATAAAGTTTGAATTTTTTTTTAACTTTTAAAAAAAATTAATTTGGAATTAAAGTGTAAGACTTTACAAATTCCAAAACTTGAGGGCAAGAATTGAAACTATTCCAAGTCTCTTCAATTTGTAACTTATGAGTTTTAATGGTTCATAAAGTTGAAGACTCTTCATTTTATGAAACCTACTATTCTTTAATCAACTTTTAAAGAAGTGACTTTTGGTTATCCATAACTTGAGGACAAGTTATGGACACCATTATGCCATTAAGATCATGAATTAAACACACATGGAGGTTACACATAATTCCTATGATCTTCTAAAAACTCATAAGAACACAAATTCATCAAGCAATTTCAAGAAATCATATAAACATATACAATACTTGAAAATTAATAAAAGTCATGTAAAATGGGTTAACATAATCATTATCATTTTGAAAAACAGATTTTACAAGTCCAAAACAGATTGGGATAATGATTTTAATCCATTTCCAGCAACAAAACACGAAAAACTGCCCACACGCTCCTACTCGTCGAGTGCATATCCTACTCGACGAGTAGGATGAATTTGTTCATGGACTCGGCGAGTCCTCCCCATGAACTCGGCGAGTCCAGTCGTCAATGCAGAATTTTCGTTTTTCAAGCAGTTTTGCATCAAGTATACAGAAAACAATCCTAGGCTCTGATACCACTGTTGGGTTTTGAGCATTCTAACACTTCCTAAGTGTACATGCAACCCTAATAACCTTGAATCTATGTTTTCTCTATATACATGCAAATTTCTTTTCAAGGTTATTTCCTAACTAGCATGGCATGGGGATTATAAAACATAAAAACTAGTAGAAATACATACCTTGTTGTTGCTTGGATTCCTTCAAGACTTTGTGAGCCTAGCACCCCAAATGTTGTGCCTCAAATGCTTCACACAACACCACAAAACTTGGAATAACTTGAGAGAATATTTCTTACACTCAAAAATCGGTTATGCCCTCTCTAGTAACACTAGTGCCGATTTTGCATGCTATAGGGTTTCTTTTATAGTG